TTTACTTTGGAGGCTGCATTCTACTTTTTACAGCTTCAGTTACTTTCAGCTGATTGGCTTATATTCTTCCTCACTATGTTGCCACTACAGAAAAACAGAGAAAATAGAACTGTTGTAAAAATCCAAATTGTAAATAAAAAAACAGAGAAACTATTATGATGAATATAAATACAGAATAAAGTGAAACTATGAGAAACATTTCAATCACAGTGCGGTTTATTACATGTTAAAGTGGAGAGCTGTGCACATTTGAAAGTTAAATACAAAATGTGTATAGCAGCATTAACAAGAGAAGTGTTTATTGCAGAGTGATTCAATAAAGTGGTTCTTAGTAGCATTTTCAGTTTTAAACAACACTTTTTAACACGTTTAACATCACAGGAGATACATAAAAACATTAATGGAGTTTAATTGTCTTCTGTGGCACATAAAGGTAATGTTTTCATTCAGGCAATATGAGAATAAGCCAATCTCAAGTTGGCTTTCCATATACTACTCATTAGTATGACAGAACACACAAAATCCTGTTTTTCTAACTTCCTGTTCTCCCCCAGAGGGCGCTGCATGCATGTACATTTATTCCTCCCTGTCTCTCCCTGCAGAAATACCCCGTGCTGCCTTACCTGGTGCTGGTGCTGAAGCAGTTCCTCCTGCAGAGGGACCTGAACGAGGTCTTCACCGGAGGGATCGGCTCCTACAGCCTCTTCCTCATGGCTGTCAGCTTCCTGCAGGTAAGAGACGCTCCGTCGTCCACCAGAGCTTCAATGTCTTTATTAGGGAGCGCTCAGAGACACTTTTTATGTCCAAAACGTTTTTTTTAAAAAACACCTGGACACTAGGCTCCAGTACATCCAGAACTCAGCTGCCAGGGTTCCCACACGCACCAAGCGCTGGCAGCACACAAATAATAGTACAGAAGCTGCTTTTATCTAAACTTTTTATAGTTTGTTTTATTTATTTTTTGATGTCTGATCCATTGATTTAGCCGTTATCAGCGCACCCCTAGTTTTTAATAATTTTTTGGTTTTTTTCTTCCTTATGAAAAACTGATATTTGGCCCTTAAACTTTAGTAGCTTTATTTGTATCCGTCTGAATAGCTTTTCAGAAAAATCCTCAAAACTCTGAGGAGTAAACCCGAATCACAACGATCTGCCGCCTTCAGTGAAAACATTGCAAAACGTTTGTGCTCACGCTTCAATTCCTTTTTCAATTAACTCACTTTTTCAATAACCCTGACGTGGTGCTGTGTTACCTTCCAGCTTCACTACAGGGAGGATGTGTGCAGTCCCAACATCAACTTTGGCGTTCTGCTCATCGAGTTCTTTGAGCTCTACGGTCGCCACTTCAACTATCTGAAGACAGGCATCCGGATCGCTGACGGAGGCTGCTACGTGGCCAAAGACGAGGTTCAGAGGAGCATGGACAGCTACAGGCCCTCCATGCTCTACATCGAGGACCCTCTGCAGCCAGGTGGGAACAGTGGACACGGAGGAGGAAAAAGGGTTAGGTCAGGGGTGTCCAAACTAACTCTAAATGTAAAAATGTATTACACCGTAGTACTCATGTGTTGATACCACTTTTCAAATACATTCAGTCAATTCAAGTTGGAGACATTTTCTAACATATCTTAGTGAATAAGAAAAAGCCCAATGACTTATTTACAAGCTTGAAATACACCCTTCCTAATTCTCCTTATTATAATCCATCTGAGGCTTCTGTTTCAAGGCATGAGCTAAACACTCACTAAGCATCATGTACCTACATTTGATTGATTTTGCTAACTTATGAGGCGATATACCTCTAGTGAGTGGCCCGGCCCTTCGTATATTTTTCTGTACGTGTGGCCCTTAAGCATATCGTGTGTCTCGCATTCACACAAACTCACCGTCCGATTTGTTGCCAACAGATAACGATGTGGGTCGCAGTTCATACGGGGCCATGCAGGTGAAGCAGGCGTTTGACTACGCCTACGTGGTGCTCAGCCACGCCGTGTCCCCCATCGCCAAATACTACCCCAACAACGAGACCGAGAGGTGAGATCTGATTACATTCAACTTTATTGAGTGGTGCAGAAATGTGGATTTGCCTTGGAGACAAGAGAACAATAAGTGATGAAATGCTGACTTATCAGGTTTTAGGACTCATTCCTGCACCACTCCATGGTCATAGCACATAGTACAATGAAATACAGCTGGCATCCAACCAACCTGTATGAGGTTACAGTATATACATGTTGTGATATATGGTTGTACAAATAATACAATGACGGCATAAATGAATAAAATAAATCTTGCTAAAAGTCAGAAAATCTCCATATTGGCTGCTGTGTGGCTTTAAGTTTAGGGAGCGCTTGATGTGATATGCAGACGCGTTATTTGGGGGCAGAGCACGCATTTTAGTTTAACTCCTGGTTTTGAGAGGTGTGACATATCGTTTCTTTATGTCTGTGAGAGAAAGAGAGGGCAATGGGAGAGAGCAAGAGGAGCAAAGCCCCAAAGCAAGTCTCGTGTCAAAAAGTACCAGTTTCTTAATGTTGGCGCTATCGTCATATTGTCGATAGTACGTAGGCCGTGACACATTGAGTTTATGTGACTTATCGCCCGGCCCTACAGGGCACAGTACCATGTTTTCAGACCGCTGTACACACACTGGTTTAACAGGTTTACCTCTCTCTGTTTCCCATCGCAGCATACTGGGTCGAATCATCCGAGTCACACAGGAAGTGGACGACTACAGGGAATGGATCCGGAAGAACTGGGGGAGCCCGTCTCAGAACGACCTGCCGCTCAACAGTACGACCAAACTCCTTACATTTCTTAACATATATATCTTTGAATCATATTGCATCTAAATATTGACTCTAAATCTAAGAGAGGTAAAGAAGGGTTATTATTTCCAGCTACTGGTCCCGGCAGCATGGCTTTATTAAGACTGGGCCCATTGATTGATATTCATCTCTATGGTTATATGGTACTAGTCTGTCTGGTTTTAAAGGCAGCGTTACAGTAATGTTATGTCACTTGTATGATTTAACTGCACTGTTTGTTAATTAGCTTTTACCCACTTAGTCATTAAATCCACAGAAATAATGATAATATCTTTTGATTGTACATTTTTGTTATTTTGGACAATTTGAAAATACAGGATTACCAATAATATGCGTTGCAGGAAATGTCAAAAATAGAAAGCAACGTGTTATTATTTTGTCTTACGTCTCTCTTCTCCGTTTCTGCAGAAAATGACGTCAGGCAGTTTGAGTCCAAGCAGCTCGATGAGTGCAACAACAACGTCCCGGATGATGAAGATGACGACGAAGATGAAGATGTTGTTGTTTTACCGTCGGCGCCCTGTAGCAAAACCTCCTCGAACTCCTCCTCGCCGTCCCCTTCCCTGCGCTCCTCTCCCTCCTCCCCTCTGTCGCCTTCCTCCTCCTCCATCTCCACTTCCAGTGACGCGGTCAGTACACACACACACACACACACACACACACACACACACACACACACACACACACACACACACACACACACACACACACACTAAATGTACTTTTGTACTTAGGGTTTTTAGTGGTTTTCCTATTAGATCAGAAAACATGTGATTCAACAACCGATTAGCTAACTTTGCCAAGGGGCACCATCTTTGTCTTGCCAGCCAATCAGAGCAAGCTGATGTTTTTTAGGAGGGGGCCTTAAAGAGACCAAAACTAAGCGTCATTAATATGTTCAAGTTAAAACCAAAGCAGAAGCTCAACTAAAACCGAAGAATATGTCCCCTTTTATCCCTTAGATGCACGAGTGATTGGACTCTACACTCTTCCATTAGTGGGTCAAAAATGACGCTTATTAGAAAAATGTGTTTTTATGCCATTTTGGTTAAGAAATATCACTTGTATAATAGTATTATATTTTGGTTCACAAAAGACATTTTTTATATTTATTTTTCAATATTTCTAGCAAAAAAAAACACGTTTTGAACATATTGATATTTGAAAAAGGAAAACATTACCCCACACACACACACACACACACACACACACACACACACACACACACACACACACACACACACACA